GATGGGTCAGAGAACTTGGAGAGATACATTTACTGGTTTATCATGAAGGATACAGATGATTAGGACAGCTAAATTAAAAGGGGAGTATATATAGGATAAGTAACAGGGGGCATGGCATGGAAATTTACTTATGGGTTCATCAGATTTTGTGGTTGAAGTTTGTGTAGCTCTTGATCTCTAACACCCTTTCCCATTCTCAGAAGTAGATGGATCCTCTTATCTGGATCTTTCTAGTGACTTCTGGCCTTATCAATATACACTCATGTGTTAGAAAACAATCTCTTAGAGGCTTTTTGTTTAATAAGAATTTTTTATTGTCATGGTGATGTACAGAGGGTTACAGTTACATACATAAGGTAGTAAGTACATTTATTGTTAAACTTGTTTATCCCCTCCCTCATTTTTCTCCCACTTTCCCACCCCCAACCTCTCCTCCAAGTTTTATAATTCATTTCCAACATATTGTGAATATCACTATTGCATTGGTTTGCCCTTTGCCCTTTGTCTCACCATTTTGATGTTCCCCTACTCTTCCCTTCCTAATTCAGATAAACATATATATATATATATATATATATATATATATATATATATATATATATATATATATATATATATATATATATATATATATAATACGCAGGGTACCAACATCAAATACAGTGATAACAGGGGCTAAACCATAGGGGAAAAAACACAAAAGAAAAAAGAAATCACATAGTACATTAAAAACAACAACAACAAAGAAAAACCTCTTGTGTCCATGTCCTGGAGTTCATTTCACCTAGCATCATTTTATATGGTCATATGTACATAACTGTTGCGCTATTCTGCTCATCTGCTAGGACTGTCTTAGCCATATACTAATTATTACAAATGAGGGAGACAAGGGAGCCTATGTTTCTTTGGGTCTGGCTTACTTCACTTAATATGATTTTTTCCAAGTCTTTCCATTTCCTTACAAATGAGGTGGTATCATTCTTTCTGATGGAAGTGTAGAATTCCATTGTGTATATACTTATACTACATTTTTTTATATATTCATGCACTGAAGAGCATCTGGGTTGATTCCATATCTTAGCTATAGTAAATAATACTGCAATGAACATAGTTGTGCTGGTAGCTTTAGTATGGTCTTGTTTGTGTAAATGCCCAGAAGTGGGAATGCTGGGTCATAGGGGAGCTCTATGTTTAGTCTTTTGAGGAACCATCATACTGCTTTCCAGAGTGGTTGAACAAGTTTACACTCCCACCAACAGTATAGTGGCTTGTTTTTTCCCTTTTGGTCACATGACCTCCAGCATCTTTTATTATTAGGTTTCTTAATTATAGTCTTTCTAACTGGGGTGAGGTGGAATCTCAATGTTGTTTTGATTTGCATTTCTTTTATGGCCAGCGTTATTGAACATTTCTTCATATATCTATTTGCCATTTTTATTTCCTTTTCTGAGAAGTATCTCTTTAAGTCTACAACTAGAAATTCTATCTGAAAACAAAACAACAAAAAAAAGACAATAAGAAACTAGGACAAAGGCTAAATATATTTCACACTATATGACACAGGAATAGAGCTAAGGAAGAGTTGCAAAGGTAAGGGGAGGGACTTTGTAGCTATTCTTAAGTGCTTCAGTTGTTATCTGTACAAGTGTGACATTGCATGTAGTCTTGTTTAAGTTTAACAGGAGCCTAACTTTCTGGCTATTGTGTTAAGAACCCATTGTGGGAGGACAAAGGCAGAAGCTATGGCAACACAACAAAACCAAAAATAAAGCACTCATGGGTGCGCGTGTGCGCGCGCGCGCACGCACACACACACACACACACACACACAATATTCTAGTTTTTCCTCCAATGCTTTTTATCCAGTGTTAGCAAATTATACAGCCTCTTCTTATATCCAGGAAAAGAAAGTAATTATGTCCAGAGTGCAATGACTTTCTGACCACTGCCATGGCTTGTAACTTGATGGAGTTAATTACCATTGGCTTGGCTGTATTGCTGCTGTCCAGCCAAGGGCAAGTTGTTTGTATTTCTGATGCATTGGCCCCACAGGAAAAAGGACACTAGGTTAAAGGTTGACCAGTCAAAATATACTACAGTATCAAACTTCTGGATCAGATGGAAGTCTTTGTAATAACAGAGCAGTATCAATGTCCTTTAGCAGTACAGAGGTCTCTAAAGCACATAACAACCACATCTCTATTCCAAGATATTGGAAATTATGTATAGAACAGGAAGCAATCACTACAAACATTATTGTGAACAATTCATATTCCTTCCAAGAATATCCAAAGAAAATTCAGATTTTTCAACTGGGTTGTAAGGAGTTCTAAGACAAACTTAAATTTCTATTGCAGTATAATAGGGACAAAAACAGGTATATTTTGTCAGTGTCTTTTGATTAGTACTATATTCTCATGATAAATTTTTAAAGTAGACAATTTAAAATATGAAAAGACTCTGGGAAACACACTGAAAAATGAAAATAATATTTTAAATGATATATGCTTTGAATCTATTCTAGGATTCTAGAAAATAGAGGCTGGCTTACCTAAACCAGTTTTTTGCTACAGGAATTACTCATCTGGGTGTGGTGACGCCACTGCTTTTGTGTAATAAACATAATCAGGTATCACCACACCCTCCCCTTAAACTCTATGTTAAAGGCTACTGTCTACCTGTCAAAACTGATTATTAGTTGTAGGCTAATGAATTTTCAGGACCAGACATCTATGTAAGGGAGTAAACCAAAGTTTTAAGAATGTATTTTAATTCATTTTAGTGTAGCCACCTAATAAGTACATAATTCCTGACTAAACCCAAGGTTTTGGATTTCAGTCTGCTATTTACTTTTTCTTGAAAGGCTAAATTTTCCCCATCTTAAAGATGAAGATAATTTTATTTTCCTTCTGGTGCTATTGTAAAGATTAAATGAGCAAAGCTCTTTTTAAAAATGTCTAGCAATAGCCAGTACTTTTTGTGTGTGTTTTTTTTTGGGGGGGGGCCGGTCGTGGGGGCTGAACTCTGGGCCTGGGCGCTGTCCCTCAGCTCTTCAACTCAAGGCTAGCGCTCTACCACTTGAGCCACAGCTCCACTTCCGGCTTTTTTATTCTTTTTGCTTATGTGGTGCTGAGGAATCGATCCCAGGGACTCAGGCATGCAAGGCAAGCGCTCTACCACTGAGCCACCTTCCCAGCCCATACTTTTTGTGTTTTATCAAAAGATTTGCCCACCCTCCCCCACAGTATAATCCCTGCTTTCACTATATTTGATGTCAGTATAACTTGTGGAGGAGATGGGGAAAAACCAGTTGTTTAAGGATACAGGTGGATCTG